ATGGGTTGGAAACCATAGGGGGGAGTATATGCATGTGAGATGCGGGGTTAGCCATTGCTTGCTGCAAGATGCTCGTGCACTGCAGGAGGTAAACAGAGCAGCTGAAGCTTGGTGGAAATTGGTGGAATACTTCTTGCCAACCATTGCATTCTCTATTTCTATGTCCAAGCAGACATTGGCGCACGGATGTTGATGTGGGCATGGGGAAAAGGATAAAGATAGTGGACTCTGCACAACCGCTAAACGCAAAAACGTGCATGGCATTTCCCAGTTATCCAGTTTCCATCTAACACCCGCGCAATAACAAGCACAGTTCCCCTTCAACTGCTAGGTACTGCTGCTGATGGCATGCCCCTTTGAAGTGCGACAGTGAAACTTGTGGGTTTTGATTTTGATGTGAACTCGTTGGTATCCCTGCCAGCGCAGCCGATAATCCTGCCAGCCCTCAATTAACTTTTTAACATTCCACTTGCAAGTGAGGAGATATACTTGCTTGCATTCGTTGAAGGAGCTCTCTTGGCATTTCTCGGCAATGCTACATATGAAGTCGAAGCCCGAGTTGTCCCCTGAAACCTTCAGCTGCGCAGGCCACTGACGAGGACCACTGACGAACCCTCAGTCCTATTCATGCTTACCCAGCCTTCAGCTTTACCTGCTCATCTGGCTCGGGAACTGGCTCATCTGGAAGTATTTGTTGAACCTGCGGGGTCTCCTGCAACGAGGCGATTGTGCTTCGACGTCCTGGTCTGCCTGACCTAGGTAGGCATATTAAGAAGCACTAGTGCAATTCGCAGTGGGCTACATATAGAAAAGGGCTTAGCTGGTAGGGGAGGACGTGTTCCCTTGCAAGAGAGCTTGCCAGATCTACCATTTGACCGCTTGCTCACTTACTGGCCTGCTTACTTGCTTACTCTTCATGCCCGGAGGACTAGGTCAAAAGCAGCAAGACACGAAAACTGCTGCAAAATCTGCTGTGCGTGTAGAACTCTCGCTTGGCCTAATTCTAAATTCGTCTGCTCCTCTTGCCAAGTATCAGTCCACCCCAACCCAAGGCCTCCATCGGGTTCAGACGGTCCGTCGCCACTTGTGCCAGAACAGGCTCTGTCTCAGGTCGCACGGGACGGTCAGGACGGTCAGTGCTCACCTCGCGCAGGCATTTGTCCATGAACACTCTGACTTCTGACCTTGTATGCTAAGGCAACGATTTCTGCAGCATCATGAGGTAACGAAATGCTTGTCCTTCGGTGCAAGTTGCTTAGGGCTTATGGGCCAAGCAAGGACTGCAGGAGTAAGCCTTAGCACTCAAGTTGAAAGAAGAGCAGCACTTTGTTAGCTCCAGTGCCGCTATGATACGGTATGGGTCAGCGTGAGCTTCAACCCGCAAGGGACCGGATTTTGTTTGACAATCATCCAATTCTGTGCTATGGATGCGTCCTAAGCCTGGACATTCGTGGGCAGTTTTGCACGCTTCTGACAGCGAGCCTCTTGACCCTTGATGTCCACTGCTGACATGTCTACATGCCTACCTGCTGGAGTTTTGCTCTGTACTGTAGTTTGCGAAGAATCTTTCCCGTGTCCTCTCATCGGGTTTTTTGGGTGTGTCAGCCCAGCTGACAGCAGACTTCCCTCCGTACAAGTACCGGCTTGAGCCCATCAGAACTAGTGCCTGGGACACAACACCGCTGCGAGAAGACCGGGACTTCGGTGACTTCGCATCTTGAAGCGGCCCTGCCCTTCCCCTCTATCTGCTTTACAAGGCACTGCCTTCGAGAGGTTGAATGACTTGCTGCGCTTGGCTCTGTCACGGATAGTGTCCCTGCAAAAGGCCAGAAACGTTTGCAAGAAAACGAGGCCGTTAACTGTCAACCGAGCTGTTCGAAAAGTGTCCAAAACCCTCAGCCTGCCTTATTGAGCGGATGATTTCCCAGGCAGGACCTGCAGAGGTGCTGTACAATAAATGTAACCAAGCTTGCCGCAGATTTTACAGGCTTTGGTGGCAAAAGCATGATGCGGGTTTGCTGGCTTCAGCATAGTGCGTGGCCGGGATTCAAGGACCACTGCCCACATTATAAACCATGGTTTCAACACTAGATACAAGTACACGCGGTCATATGTCGCCTTGGGTTTTCGTTGCGGCTTAGCCGGCTGAGCCTTTGTATCTGCGCCACTTGAACTTTTGGGGGAACGAATGCGTCATGTGTACCTTCATCTTCATCAATCATCTTGAAGCGTTCGCTGTGCGTGTACCTCAGCATGGCAAATCACGGCTTGATCGACACATATGTAATCAGGCCACAAATCCGGCTGTTCAGTTGCGTGGAGACGATGGGGTAGTGAACGCAAGACTCTGCAGACAATGACTTATATGTGTCATGCAGAGGCGTCCTTCCTCCAATCGGATGCCTCGACTGGATGATCAGCGTTGCTGAATTATCGGAACCTCCCCTCTTGCGCCAAGAACGCTGTGGGATACTGCGGGAAACCGACATGTTAGATGGCAGCACACTCAAGTCGCCCACACGTGCCTTCAGCCTTCAATTTGGCAGAGCCCTGATTTCAATGAGGCGGAGAAAGGCTGCTCCATGCCACATCACGCTAGCGTAAAGGCGCATTCTGCAAATCCAATGTTGCCAACAAGTTTGCCGGGCTGCATGTGCGAGATGACCCGCAGCAACAACGCATCAGCCTAGCAACATGTTGGGCAACAGGAAGCTTTACCTGTCTTACTTCGTGAGCTCTACGGACATGATGGCTAGCTATAGCAATCAACTTCGGCTCAAGCCAAAACCTTGCTCAAGAACCCCTGCAAACCCGAACTCCATTGAAGAGTTGTTCACCTAGGCTTGGAGCATTCGGGGTCAAAGACAGGAAGCAGCCTGTGGCCCGCTTAAGAAGTGTGGCTGGAAATCAATGTACAAGTTGCGGGGTCTAGACTAACACAATCCCGGAACCTAAGCCTCTAGTCACCATCTGCGGAACTGCCCTGCAGGCCTTTTCAGCCTCCTGTGCTAGTATCAGGTCGATGGCCCTGTGCCACACTTCCTGGGCCAGAGATGCAGGAGTAAGGAACTTGTAGCCATTAAGAAACATGCTACGCTGTCAGTGTTTGTTTGCCCATACAAAATGTTTCGCAAGGGTCAGCAGCCCGAAGAAATGGAGCCAAGAGTCTTTGGATGAGGCCGCAGCCACGTCGTCATTCAGGAAGAGTTTCTGAAACTCTGGCACAGCCTCAGCATCCAAGAGCGCTCTACTCGGACTCGACTCAGAGCCTGGTGATGACTTGCAAAACGTCCAACAATCCGCCCGCGTTGCCTCTCTGACTTCTTGGATGTAGCCCCGATGTCGCTTCACCCAGAACTCCTAGGCCAGGTTTGCTTTGGCGGCAACGCTCGAAGTATCCGCAAACTGCTTCTGCGTTTCCCATTGGGTCAATGCATGGCAGGCCAAGGCGCCGAAAAAAAGACATACCAGGGAGCAGTATAATCATCAGCTAATCCCCGAAATTTCCTTGGCTAGCATTTCATGAGTTGTCACTATCTGCAGAAGCCGCCAGATGTGCTCTGAATCATTTCCGGAATTCGAACACCGACCTGCAAAGATCGACAAAGCCCAAAGAAAATGTTTCTGTTGAATCCAAGATTCCCGTGTTGCCATTTCCAGGATGCGTAGATGCAAAGGGCTATCACCGGCACTGCGAGCAGGATGACTGAGATCAGGTCCAAGATGGACAGGGCCATCATGGTCTGGGCTCTTGCTGACAATGAAATGGCCACAATTCCCTAAATTCTGAACCTGGCATGAACATGTCAGACTGCTCCAGAAACAGGAAACCAAGTGAAACACAGGAGTGCGTCAGAGAACGCTCCGGTGCAACTCACTACATGGAACTTCGAGCCCCGCAAGAAATTCCATGTGAACATCCCCCAAACTCAAACCTCGATCTGCTTCCCTCCTCTGAGGACAAGGCGGTCCACTCCTCAGCTCAGCAAAGACAAGATCTCATCCAAGCTTTTCAGTGATGGCAACACTGATGGGCTTTGTGCAACAAATTCACTAACTCAATATTCTCAAGCTTGCGTACTCGAAAATAATGCTAAGCAGATTACAGGACATAACCTGGTTACAATTTCAATGCTTTCCTTGCTGGTCGCTACTCAAAGTTGGTCCACTTCTGCTGGTCGATGTTACGGAAGTTCCAAACCAAAGAGCCCAGTTTGTCATGGCGCATTCAATGACAGGCTGGAAGGCCAGACCTTGGATCAACAAAACATCTGCCCATGTTGCCGCATTCGAAGGTTTAGTGCCTTTTCAAGATGACAAACAGCGATCGCTCACTGCACCATGCGTGGAAGCATCTGAAACAAGCATTAAGGAAGCCGGAGTATTGGGAACAGTACTTGATGCTAACCGGCTGAGCCCATCTCGCCCAAGATACAGAATTTGTCATCCTCGCATGGGACGCAGCTCACGAAGACCAGATCATCACGAAGGTGAACCAAGAGAAACAGCCTGCAATGGAAGCTAAATAAGCAGTGGCAACGTGGGTTACGACCTTGGCATCCCAAAACTGATCTGATGTTCTACCTAGCCACAAATTAAAAAACACACGGGCATCTGCCACATCAAATCACCGTGTGCTTTTGCGGGACATGAAAAAGCCTCAGGCCTAGATCATGGATCTTGACTCAGACAAGAAATCCGGCGCAGACAAGCGACATCATGGTGACAGATACCACGCCAAGAAAGCCGCGCTTTGGGCTTATGTAGCCGACGTCCATCAGGCGGTTCCTCAGGTCAGCGTGTGAAGAACTTCTGCCATCTCATCTTTGAGGACGATTTGAAAATTCGCAGCATGCGGAGGGGCTACTTGCATGAGACTAAGGCCGCCTAATGCCAGATAAGCCAAGGTGCTTATGCCATGTGCAATATGCCAGCATGGCCACGCACAGCACCACCTGCACAGAGCCAGGGTTGCTGCCTTCTCTGAGCCGTGGCCTCGCATGGACTTGGCAAGTCACCGTCGGAGAAGTGCGCAAGACAAGATTTAGCCCACACACCCGTCTGATAAACTTGCGTCCGGGGGGGGATGAAAGCTTCGGAGAGGGAGGCAGGAGCAGGCTATGGGCAGGCGCACATGAATAGGATTTTTTAAGCTGTGGAGTGCGTCAGCATCAGCAGCACACCGACCTGGGCCATCGCGATGATTGTGGGAGTTGGGCGGCAGGGTGGAGGGACCCGCGAGCATGGAACTGAGTGCAACAACCCGCCGCAAGCTAACCTGAACTGGTGGGGCTGCTGCTGGACATACCAGACTCTGCCATGCCGGCCCCGGGCCGGCATCAGCAGCATCAGAAATCGTACGTCTCTCTGCCTGATGGCGGTCCACCAGGACACCCACCATGAAGTGCAGCCATATTTGATCGCATGTTGGGGTTCCCCCTCCCAAGGACAGATCAGCATAGCTGGGCTTAAAACGAAAAGCTTCGTGGAAGCTTTCGTGACAAAGGTTGCGCTGAAATGCACCATACACGTGAACATCTTGACAAATGCCCACTGCGGGCGAGGATGTACGATCAGTTGCAACAGTAACAGTGCATCTGGACCGCCAAATCTCCAAACTTTAGCTTGACTTCGGACAGGAGGTGCGCGACACTTGCAAGGCGTGAGCAGCGTAGCTCCGTGCAGGAACCCCTTGCGGCTGTCCAAGCTTGCATGGCTTCTAGATCTGAGTCTACTAAAGCTCATATTGGAACAATATTCCACCTTTGATGAGCGTCCTGCGAAGCTAGGGCGTAGAACTTCAGGAGAAACAATACATGTGTCGTAGGTGTTCCTCACTTCCAGCAACTGGGTAGAGGCCGCACGCTACGTTGCCCTTCGCTTGGGCAGGCACGAGAACTATGAAGAACGTCGCCCACTGCAGAAGCCACTTTGCCAAGTAGGAGAGCCTTGGCATGGCAGTGGCTTAGTGGCTTAATGGAGCTGCTCGGTGGAAGAGTGGAAGAATGAAGCCGCTACGAGCCTGCGAAGTGCGACTCGTATGTGTCTCAACGTGTCTGCATGCCACATGAATCACATGAAGCTGAAGAGTTGTGCCTGAACGCACATTGTGGCCGGAGGATGGACATGTCGCAGGCCACGATGCCTTGACAATCTCATGCTGAGAAGGGAAGTTGGGAAGGTTGCCTACACCCAACAGAGCATGAGCAAGCAACCCATGACCCTGCGCCCCCAGCCGTGGTGCATGATGTGCATTTTTCAAACTTCATATCTCTCTGCTGCAGCTACGTTAGATTAATTCTCTCACCTGCAGCCACCTTCACTGGGGAGTCAGCAGTTGAAACAGGAGGCAGAGGGCTGATCCATTCAATTGCTTAAGAGCTGTTTCGGAACCCTGCTTGGCTTCGGACCCATCGTCCAAAGCCAGTCTTTGGTAAATCCTGGAGATGGGCCAGTCAAGGGAATTTTCAGGTGGCATGTGAATAAGGGGGGCTTAGTTGAAAACAGCAATACAAAGTGATAACGCACTTTTTTATGTCTTGAGCCAAATAATCACGTAAAGCT